GCCTGTCTCCAGATTCATGTAGGAAGCCTAATTCCCAATGGGACTGCTTGGATCCAGAGCCACTGGGCAGGTAGTGAAGGTTAACTGAGGTCATAGGGTGAGGCCCAAAGTATCCGGGCTGTAGAGACACCAAGGAACACTCCCTGTCTGCAGGCACAGAGCGAAGGCTGGTGAGGGGACAGGGAGAAGGGACTGCCCACAGCCAGGAAGAGATCTTAGCACACCAGCCCCAACAGCACCTTGGTTTCAGATTTCTGGCCTCCTCTGAGATGCAGAAGCCCAGGTCTGTAACCCCTGTGACTCACAAGTTGCAGGCCAGCCTCATAAACTTTGAGAGACCCTGTTTCAAAAAGTAAATAGAGGCTGGGCGCCAAGGTGCAGGCCTGTAATCCCAGCAGCTTGGGAGGCTGAGGCAGGAGGATTCCGAGTTCAAAGCCAGCCTCAGCAAAAGTGAGGCACAGCAACTCAGTGAGATCCTGTCTCTAAATAAAATACAAAATTGGACTGGGGACCTGGCTCAGGGGTTGAGTGCCTCTGAGTTCAATTTCTGGTACAAAAACAAAAACAAACAAACAAACAAAAAAGAATTGCTGTCTCTTTTCTAGGGTCTTTKCCCATATGGGGGCATATTTCAAGTAGATTTTCTGGCTGACTTTGGCAGGAGGGCTCTGACTGCCCCAGGAGTCCTTGCTGCGGCCCAGCGGGAACCCTCATTCCCAGGCTTAGGCTGGCCCCTCTCCTGCCATTGGCTGCTGGGCCCTTTCCGTTTGTGGAGTCACAGTTTTCTTTAGTCCTGAGAAATGCCCTTCACGGGGCTTTGACTTRTTCTTCTCCCACTCTGTTCTATCTTCTGACGCTCCTGTCTGGTGGACATGGTCCTTGCACTGATCCACAGTGCTCCCACCTTCTCGCTGTCCCTGGGGAGTCCTGTGATGTTTCTTATAGTTCCCCAAGTCCTGCCTGGGCCAGGGCCTTTCTCCTGTTCAGCACATACCAAGTCTTAAGCCACAGTCCTCCCACTGACTTTCCAGCTCCATGTCTTCCCAGGGGGTTGTGCCAACCCCCACGTCCCAGAAGGGGGTGCTGGGCATGTGGTGTGGGTGTTGGGGTCTGTGGTGGCGGACAGCCTGGTGCCTCGGTGTTCCCCACTGGCTCGGGCCTCCTGCTAGCCCACAGCCCTCCAGGGCCTCCTCAGGCACAGGATCTTCTTTGGAGTGAACTCTGGGGTCTCAGCCTGGTGTCATGGCCCAGATCCTCCTGCAGCTACAGCTCTGGGTGTGGGGACAGGTCAGGGCCAGCCTTTGGCCAGCCCAGGCCAGGGCCCCTCCTGGAGCTCAGTTCTGAGCAGCTGTCCCCTGCTCGGTTCTTTCCACCTTGCTTCCTGTGGGCGGCAGTTTTTCCTGGGCTCTTGTCTGTCAATTTAACCCCATTTTGCTAAGTTTTTTGCGACTCTTTAACCCTCTATCAGCATTCTTCTGTGTTTTCTCCTGTTGCTGTGAACACTGCATTTTTTGCTGTCATTTTAAAGGATCTGGAACAGATGGGAAAGTGTGGGAGCTGCAACCAGCTCCATCCACTATTTATACACACAGAAATATGAATCAAATCCATAGCTTATGATCTGCTTGGTAAAACTTACCAGTCTTTTTTTTTTTTTTTTATTGGTCGTTCATAACATTACATAGTTCTTAATACATCATATTACACGGTTTGATTCAAGTGGATTATGAACTCCCGCTTTTACCCCGTATACAAATTGCTGTATCACATCAGTTACCCT